GAGATTTGGTATCCTTTTCTATCTTGCATTTTAGCCATAAGAAATTTTCTCCTCCCTTGTACACTATGTTGCTACGCCAGTATATTCCAAGGAGGTTGTAAGTATATTCTAAGACTATGGGTCCAAAGATTATACAATATTTATGAGATAACAATATTTATAAGTTAATATTGATTGATTTATTTATGCTGCATAATATGCAAATTGATATTTGCCTTAAAATTTATACGCTCCGCATGAAAATTTGAAACCGATAAATAAAAAAGATGTGAAAATCCTGTGGGTATTTCTATCTTCTTGGTATGTAGTATTGGGTTAAATCCACGATCTTCCAGATGCATTTTTTGTCATAACATATTTACTACTTTCAAAGAGATTTAAATATATAGGTAGATATACTAGAGAGCGGACATTGGGAACATTTATATACAAAAACTTTGAGCTAGTGCGCGTGTGGCACCCTCTAGCTAAAGATAGCAAAACAACGCTAAGCATTTATTAAGACAACATTTTAGCTATTCCCCAGTAGGTGACGCTACTAAATATAACCTCGTTTTAGGAATGTTACCGTTTCGATATCAGAATATCGATAATATCGTTGAAGATTACTAAGTTTGAAATTCTTTTCGATATAATAATAGGGAATATACATGATTGTTTTATTGTATAAATCTATTTATGACTTCCATCACACAAAAAATCATATTAACTTTTTACGCCCCTTTAGTGTCATGAAATAAAATATTTAATTTCCAATAATTAAGAATCAATTCAAACAGCAGTCACTTTGGTTGTCACCTTGGTGGCATGACGTCACTCGGTCCATTAACTGCTATAATAATAGCATATGATTGATCGGTCGGCGTTAAAGGCACATCGAGAAACGCCAAATCCAATAAGAGAGCGCCTCTATGTTTTTAAATTCGTTTCTATTACAAAAACACACTTCAAATCTAAAATATTTTAGGAAAACACTGAACTTAAAAGCCGTTTCACGATTTTTCACGTTTCATCGACTGCAGTACTTAAAGACACTACCCACATCAATAAAAATTGTTACTTTAAGTTTTTACCTTATTTTCTAACTCAGGCTTAATCTACTTCTTACTTCTTTTTACTTCTTGCATCTAATATCTTTAACAATACAAATTGTTTTTAATGTAAGAAATCTATTGCCCTCTCCTATCACTGTAAGCGAGGATCTATAATGGCTTTGTCCTTGAAAACCACCAGACAATGAAGCCCGGTATAAAACCACCATACCATGAAGCATGGTATGGAAAAGGGAAGACTTGCTGTATTGCTAAACATCAACACAGCAAGTATCCTCAGCATGCTCATAAGCAACACAGAAAATCTCATCAGCATGCCTAAAAAATATTTCCCACCCTTGCTCCACATAAAGTAGGGTACTTAGCATAGTTGGTATATGCTAGTCATTTTTGTTGGTATGGGTACAGTATCGTTGACTGTTTTACCTCCTTAAATATTGTAAAGGATTAAATCGGCATCCTGTATATTTTTTTATCGATAATCCCAATCGATAAACGTCGTCAATCACTAACTTTAAAATTGGTAACTAACTAGTGACGTTTACTGGATAACTGTGGGCGCTTATTACAATAAAAATAAATGTTCTAGAACAATCTACTAGAAATAATAAAATTTAAAGATTATTCGGTATATATGTGTTTTATTTACGATAATAAACCGAAATCACGTTCATTTTTTGCTCCGTATCGTGACCTACAATATTTTAATGCACTACCGGGCATATTTTCTTTAAAAATATTTTTTAAATATATAAAACGAATGCATCTTGACTTTTTGACGATGTCACTAAGACTAAATGACAAAAGTTAAATACAAGATAATTTTGAATAATTATAATCATCATCATCATTATTACAGCCAAGTCACTGCCCAACATATGCCTTTCCTATGGAATGTCACAAAGCACGGTCCTGAGCCACCTGCATCCATCGACTTCCTGCATATCTTACCAGGTCGTCACTCCATCTAGTGGAGGGCGGCCCTACACTTCACTTACCGGTACCTACTACGTAGTAATAATATAATATATCATACCGGCAAAGAATATAATAAAAGAATATATTATATTTATCATTACTAACAGTATTAGGTGCAAGCTCCAACAGTTTCTTTTTATTTTCTTTCAGCTCACGCTGACAGTAGTTATTTTTACATTTAGGGCTAATGAGATTAGAGCTAACAATGAAGTTTTCTCAATTTTTATTTGGAGGGTTATGGAGCAGAAAACAGGTCTCGCTATCTTTATTGCGCTGTTCCAACTGATATGTTGAACATAACTCCGCACATTTGTGCCTAACTGGTCGTTACTGGTGACACAGAATAAATAATAGCTGGTGATTGGGATTGTGTAGCATACTACAGTGCGTAAGTCTATAAAACAAATTAAACTGTAGGATCACAGTTTAATTAGCTGTATTTAAACTGTGGTAGTAGTAAATAATGTCCTCCAGACGCATGTTAGGATTATAGTGAACGAGTATGTGTGGCAAGTACAGGTTCCGATCGAATGGCATCTGACACGACCGGAGAGAGAGCAGGCACAGGACTAACGCAGTAACAGTTTAATGACATACTTTACAAGATAAGCAATTATTTTTTTTTAGCTATTAAATCGATGCTGATAAAATAACGAGTGATGATTTCTAAACACTTTCTGATTATTCTTGAAAAAAAAAGCGCTTCGTCACGTTCTCTACAACAATGATTTTCATTCATTCCTTTTAAACTGCCGCCATGAAACAAGATAATCGTGGAAATATAGCAATGGATGCGTATGTTTGAATAGGAAAGGACAGGTTTTGTTTGGTGTTCGCTGGAGAGAACTGTGTCATTCGGCCGCGACACACATAGTACCGTAACAGCAGCTCACGTTCCAACAACGAAAACGTGCCACAGGCCACGCCAATCACTTTAATATTATTAATAACCTACTATTATATTAAGGGCCGATTATTAAATTGTCAGATAAAAGTTATCTATCTAATAAATTCTAACCCGGCCTGATGTAAAAGTAAAACATTTTTTTTTATTTATTTAAACTTCATACAATATGATGTATGGGCGAACTTAATGCCTGAGGCATTCTCTACCAGTCAAACTTTGGGCGACCATCATTACAGCACTTCACAAGTCCACTGCTGAACATAAACCTCCCCCAAAGAATGCCACAAAACAACGGTCCAATTTACCATATAGGTAACTGAAATACAATATTGCAAAAATAACTCGGTGCCGCTGTAACCATGGGAACTACCAGTACGCAAACATCGCGAATTTATTGTAATAAGTTAGAATTAAACGCGATATAATTAGATTTTATGAAATTCGCATAAATATAAGCACCTATACATTATGTTTTTAATCTTGCCGAAAATTCTCGAATAAATAGCAAATCACTGGCTACACAAACTATTTTGTTATCTGTAATTTATTTTTTTAAAGGATTCTTTCAAACAAAAAATGTTATGTTTATTATATTATGTTAGTATGGATATTATACTAACATAATATAAAAAAATTTGATGACTACTACAGTTCCAAGCTCAGAATAATAATTGCACCGGTTCTTTCGGGTGTCGCAAAATGAATTACTGACCGTTATTTTTGCGATGAAACATGTTCAGAATGCTATACATATTATAAAAAGCTGTTCGTTGATTTAGTTCCACCGAATTGTCCCACTGGTGTTTACTGTAACACAAACTATCTCCACAGATCCAATGATTGATAGGGCAGAAGCCTACAAAAATAACTTTATTTTTCATGTTTTTGGAGAACAGCATTATCTATTGCGACAGTTATATTGCTATTTTATCCTAGGCTACGACGAAAGAAACAAAATGGCGTGTTGTTTTCATAAACGCCCTCACTATAACGACTCGATACCTATATAAAAAGCTAACATAAAATTATTATCGAAATCTAATATAATATCAAAATTAGTTGTAGATTTGCGATTTGGAATGATAAGATTTTTTTTTAGAATAGGGTGACAAAAGACCTCACAGTACACCTGATGGTAAATGGATTCTGTGGCCCATAGACATCTACATTTATCCTCAATTAAGAATCAAAATGCAGATACTTTGTCACACCTGAGTACTGAGTTGGAATGCCTCGTTTCCAGTAAAAAGGGTCTCCAGTTCTCTACACTCACCATACGAAACACAGCAGCATTAAGCCGCCATTTTACGCTGGTATTCTGTGAGAGCGTGGTCCTACTCCGGTCGAGGTGACCCATTCGTGCTACAACTAAAATACAGCTGCAGCATCATCATCTCTACCACGTTAAATCAATAAGTTATTCTACTTCTTCTAAGAATTTGAATAATTGTCCAATTTTTATTACTAATGCTGCCAGTCGTGAACAATAATATGGAGTCTTAACTCCATAATATTTGCTCTCTTTCTCTGATGAGTACTCTTATCCCGAACAAGTTGTTTCGTCCAAAAGAGTTGAAGAATAAAGTGAGAATAGATGTATTAATATTATTTAAAATATATTATTCGTATTGTTATATTCAAATAATAAAACGTTGGACTGTTGTTGCAATTTTTTCATTATTATTATTACATGCACACTGCTGAACATAGGCCTCGCACAAGGAATGTCACAAAACACAATTCTGACTTCTGAGCCACCCATATCCATCAACTTCTTTTATATCATACCTGGTCGTTACTCTATCTATAGGCAGGCTGTCCCGCACTTCGCATAACGGTACATACAACGCTGCGTCTAGCGAATTTTTTCTTCCTCATTTCTCATCGATTCTTAGAGCTGTATGACCAGCCTATTGCCACTGCTATCACTTTCTATAATGTGCAACTTGCTAAAAAACATTATCGTCTGCCTTCCGATCTAGTTGGTGGATTGGGGTTTTTTGCCTAACTATGTATTATGTACTATGTATTGTTAGATCAAACGTGGTATTTTTAAATTTCAGGCCCTCATAGCAAGCTGTCTTGCAAGCGAGTGCGGGCCAAGGCTCAAATATGCATGGGGCGATGCTTTACAGGGATCAGATTGTCCTGGTCCAGATGGTTCGCCGTACCCACGGTATTGTACACTTTAATCATTTTGATCCCTTTTTTTTTTTGAAGATATCTTTATTTTTTTAATCATTATTTTACTATAATAACTACTATTTTTTATTTTAGTTTTTTGTGTAGTTTAGTGGTGAATTTTGAAAAACAAAATTCTAAAAAGTCCTTGTCAAGTTTATTTTGCTGTCGCTATAATCAAAACAGATTAAATTTTAAGAACCCTGCGTTTTTTTAGAACTTAAATTCCTTCTCATACTGCTATTTTGTGTATGGTTTCGTATATACATAGTTGTAAATGGCATACGATACTCTGTGTACAACATAAGATCCTTATGAAAAAGGCTCAGAAAATGATGCGAAATACAACTCCAACACAAGTTGAACATTGTTAAAGTTGGCAATAGTAAACTACGTGATAATTTCCTCCAAGGCACGGTACAGGGGTCCGTAACAGGGCCATTGTATTACATTTTTTACGTAATAGTTGCTATTAATGTAATACGAAATTTTAAATATACTAGTCTGCGGATGTTTTGTGGCTGCGTATACTTATAATATACTATACTACTTACTTATACTATACTTATACGTATACTATACGTATACTTGCCTAAACTCTCAGGGCCGAGTTTTCTGCATTCTAAAAGACTTAACTGTGATCGCAAATCAGTCAAGGTGGTTCTTCATCTTAATTAAGAAAATCGTTCTTTCTCTGTCAATGTAAAGGTAGCAAGCTGTTGTGATGTACAAGAGAAAATAATAATTATAAATTTTAACAAAAAGTAAAAATTGCTAAAAAGGAAGTTATTTATTTGCTACTTTTAGGGGTGAAATATTTTCTCGAAATTTATATGGGATGACCCTTAAAGTATAACCGATTTAATAAAAAGAATCATCAAAATTGGTTTACAATCTACGAAAATATACCTAACATACACACAAAAAAAACATACACTCAAATTGAGAACCTCGTTCTTTTTGAAGTCGGTTAAAAATTAAAATATTATAAGTATTTTTGTTCTAAAATGTACAGTACTATCAAAAATGACAGCCCAAATAAGTGGCTAGAGAAACAGTAAATATTGTACCGGTAATAATATAAAGGTATCCGTTACCTTTTTACGTGGTAGAGTTATGCTGAAGTTATATTAATTGTATAGTTGTGGCACGAATAGGTCGACTCGACCGGGGAAGGACCACGCTCCCATAGAATACCATCTTAAAATAGCAGCTTAATGCTGTATGGTGCGTAGAGAACCGAAGATCCTTTTTCCTGGAAAAGAGGCATTTCATCATAGCTGACAACGCATCTATATTTTGATTCGCAAACGAGGATAGATGTACTCGTAGACATCTATGGGTTACAGCTACCACTTACCATTAGGACGATTGTGTACTCGTTTGTCACCAACCTAAGAAAAAACCAATGATATGCCAAACTTAAAACCTTTTCATGGTTATACTTCTGTTCTGAAAAGAACCGGCAAAAGCTCAACGAAACATGTTGTACCTACAATTACATTTTTTTTTACATTTTTATAACAATTATTTTAGAAACAATGAAGTAGCTATTAACTCACTTCCAGGCGATTTATTATTACCTGCCTATAATTATCCTTATACAACATGTAACAAAACCCTGTGGTGCCCGTTAAGTACGTTATCAGGATACTGATCCAACTGAATACTGATTCAAACCTACAGAAATACCTTTTTTTCAAAAACTCTACCAATTTTTTCAATTTTATTTCTTTTTTTAACTTTATGTTGTTTTATTACCTCTTACTGACACTAGCCGATGCTAAAGCTAAGTAAAACGGGGTCTTTTTTTTATAGTATAAGGGTGACAAACGAGCACACAGTCCACCACATCTACATCTATTCTCGTTTGCGAATCAGAATGCCTCATTTCCAGTAAAAAGGGCCTCCGGCCACCTGCACTCACCAAGCGAAACCCTGGTATTCTGTGAGGTCGTGGTACCACCCCGGTTCGAGCCGGCCCATCCGTGCGACAGCAAAAGCTGCCGCGTGGCTTTTTTTGACAATCCTCTTACTCCCCAGATAATTCAGAGGTAATAAAACCACATACAATTTGCATACAATTATTTTTCTAAATAAATTAAAAAAATATTGTTAGTTTTTAAAAAAAAAGTTATTTCTATAGGTTTGAATAATGATCCTGATAACATACTTAACGGGAACCACAGGGTTTTTGTTACAGTTTTTATTTGTCATATTTTGTTTTTCTCTATCAGACCAGCGTAAGTAAATATTGCAATATAAATTAAATACTTAGGTGCTCTATGTATGACTACAGAGCGTGCCAAGGAAATAGACGTATATACATATGTACATACACTCGAAAAACATTACCCTGCTTATGGGGCAGCCGGGAAATTAAAAAAAAACCCGACTACATAAAAAAGTTTACGAGTACTGAAAAGAGAAAATTTTAATAACCTATGTCACATCATAATTTTTAAGAAGAATCTAACGACACCCAATAAAATTCATTAGGCCGTTTAGGATACCTACAGAGCGTAACAAAGAAATAAACATACATATGCATACCTACATACACTCGAAAATCATTACTCTCCTTCTGGGCACTCGGGTAAAACGAATCACTACTTTCCAATAATTTTGTCATGTCATTAATATTGTTCTCCTTATGTATGTAGGTACTATTGTAGTCAAGTCACTCTTTCAACTACAATAACAAGAAATTTTCATTCACTAACGACCATGAAGAATTCACGTAGTCGACCCCATGAAGCAAAGCTTCATGGTCGACCCACACATAGGTGCTGCTCTTCCTCGCGCCACCCAATTCAAAGTCAAATACCTATTTTAGGTACATTGATTAACAAATTAATGATGTAAATAGATGGTTATACCAGAGGGTTATACGGTTACACCGCCATCTATCGGAGGCCATAAGATATTTCGAACATTTTAGTTTAGTGACCCTTGCTATACTCACGGGATAAAATAATGCGGTAATGGATTCATACCTCGTTAATGGTCTAAGCTCTTTGCCTCATGGTAATTTTTAAAATATTAAAAGGTAAACTTGTAATGATTGTGTATATTGTTTATATTAAATTACATACTTGATATATTGCGCTATCCCCGGCGGTGACTGACGCAAACCGGTTTAATTGATTTCACGGGCAGAACGCGTTAGCACGGCGAGCGGGACGCGGCTAATGTTCGGCATTGTCCGACCTCGCGTTCGGGGCACTTCGTGTATTCTCGTTTAGTTAATTCCCACATCGTCGTGTCGACGAGACTATGTAACGTTGATGTGTAGAACTGTAGAACGATATTTAGTTATTGCTACAAACAAACATGTTCTGTTGTGTTTAATAATAGGCACTTAATATCAAATTATTTTGGTGTTGTAACATTTTGTGTTATTGGTTGATTAATGAATTTATAATAAGTTTGACCGTAGTATAATCATGTCGGAGTGTGACCAAGATGTCGATAGAGAGGAATTTTATCGACGATTGAATGAAGTGCTGAAAAGTAAGCGTGCTCCGAATACTCTTCTGCTGACACCGGCGCGATACTCTTTACTCATCGAACAAGTTAAGTTGGCCAAAACGAATGTCAAGAAAACTTCAGCGGATTACCGACGTTTGAAGAGATTCGAAATAATAAAGACACCATCAGGTGAAAGGTTAATCTCCGCAAAATCCCCAAGCCCGGGTGAACGGCAGTTGTTTGTCAACACTGACGAAATATACGATATTGTTCGCTCGTTTCACCTCAAATTAAATCATGGCGGAAGGACGCGAATGATGGTCGCAATGAAACCAAAATATAAAAATATCACTGCACAGATTGTTCTTGTTTATTTATCTTTATGTAAGACATGCAAGAGCAAGGACAATAGACGACATAAGGCAACTAAAGGATTTTTTAAGCAATTGGATATAATGAATGATGTTAGCGAAGTCGGTACTAGTTTGAGTTTGAATGTGAACGACCCATTTACTTCTATGTCAACAGAAGATAATACCGAAGAAGAAAATGGGTCAGACGATGACAATAGAAATGTATATCCTGAGCTATATTCGCGCGGACAAGTAGACTTATTAAATTTAAGTTCAGTCCCAAGAGAAGAGTACAAATACATGATGGTGTACAGAGATTTCGTAAACAAATACACGCATTTAAAGGCGCTTAAATCGACTAATATCGACGAAACAGTCGAAGCGTTATTGGAAATATTCCTTGTTTTCGGCGCGCCAAATATATTACAATCGAAAAACGGCATATCCGTCACTAAAAAGATCTGCCGCCGAATGTCGAACACAAACCCTGACATTAAAATAGTAGTTGGTGAGCCGAATTCCTCTGAAAGCGATTTCAACGGAAAAACAAATGACGATATTTTAAAAGAGTTGAACAAATGGTTAGATCGTAATAAGAACTGCAAGTGGCAGCAAAGCTTAAAGTTTATACAGTATTCCCTAAACACGACTTTCAATAAAGTGTTGTGCAGAACCGCGAGCGAGATGGTTTTCGGTTCGAATCCGCGTAGAGGTCTGGCTTCCTTTATGAGCAAGGAAGAGTACAATTATTTACAAACAGAGAATGATTTGAATGCAGCATTAGAAGAGAAAGAGTGCGGACATCATACGACTGAGCAGCTCCTGCTTCAGGAATCTCTTATTCCGGCTGAAAGTTTTATCAAATTAGAGCCTGAGTGTTCGGATGAAGAAGACGAAAACGATGACGTTGAAATTGAAATTTTTTGATCCGTTAATTTTGTTTCTTAAGAAGTCGTCATCCTATAAATAATTTATGAAATCGTATGTTACTTGTTACCTGTAAATGATACTTTCGATAGGGATCAATTAATTTTTAGATAAAATATTGCCTGTAATAAATGACTTATAATATAATAAACCCGTTCATTTATTTTATAGAATAAGGCTGACAAACGACAACACAGACCACCTGATGGCCAATAGACATTTATACTTACTCGATTAAGAATCA